AATTTTCGATCCGCAACAACGTACGCAACCATTGGGAGCTTCTCCGCATCCTAGTGCAGCAGCTGGTAGAGGAGGTACGAGCCGGCATTCATCGACTTCCCGATCCCGGGCGTCCCAATCAACACATGCCGCTTGGGGATATAGTCGGACCCTTCGTAGGCGCTGAACGATTCGGTGAGATTGCCCTTGACGATCTGCCACACTCGCTCCACCTCACAGTCCACATAGCAGTCACGAATATTCTGTCCATCATTTTTCCACGTGTACGGCCATCCCTTGTCGGAGGTGAGCACCATCAGCCTGGGACGCGGTGCACCGGATTGCAACACATCGTCATTCTTTTCGAGAGTGTAGCCAACTTCCTTGTACGTCCATGACTGTTCCGGTTTCCCCTCCTTCACCTCCATTCCCATCCCCTCGCTGCCAACAACCTTCACCACATGACTCCAACTCGCATTGTACACAGAATTGTAGAACCCCTTCAGCACCTTTGAAAAAACCACGGGCGTTGATGTCTGCGCCCGAGAAAGGGCAGCGTTTATTTTTCCCCTTGCAATGGGAGTGACTGTATCCTTTCCTTCATAGTCCCTCCATTGCTCGAGAGAAACCACACCCTCGTGATGAAGCTTGTACACCTGGTACTCTGTTAAGTTAAAAATAATTCTAAGAAGCCGCTGGTCTTGTAAGTAAGCATCCGGCTCCTGAACAAACACCTGCATCGTCACGTTGTGGTCTTCACCAACGGCCGCCCTGCCGCCAACATAATTCCGAAGGAAATCGTTCAGCTTCATGTCGGTCCTGAGTGTGCTTCCCTCCAGCAGAATGTCCTTTACGCTGCTGCTCATGGTCCAATTTGGTCGCCGCGTTTCCTCAACTCCTCTGCGAGCTGCAGCGTCGGAACCATCACCGGGGATGCCGCTTCGAGGCGCCATCACAACACCCGTGCGGTGAAGCATCCCACTCGCACCGCCTAACTGCGGCCAGCAGGTGCTGCTGGCTCCAAAGGACAGTCGCGGCTGTTTCGTCCCGCTGTCCCAATGGCGTTGGGCGTGGCACTCGCAGAGCGGGACGGTCGGCGCGCCATGCAGCCGCACTGCAACGCCTGTCGGTGAAGCAGTCAAGGCCCACCGCCCCCGCAGCAACGCAACGTGCAATCGGCCACAACACCGCCACATTATTGTCCTTTTTTTTTTTACGATTCACCTTGTCTGTTTATTTGCCCTATCCCTAACACTAAAAACAACTGCACAACTTCACAGAGGAGGGAAATCTTATGGGCCGCTGGCCGGATCCTGTAATTACCCAAAAAGAAAAAAGGAAAAAAAGCGGTAAGTGGAGAAGTAGTGGGATCTCCGTAATGTTTGCCCCAATATGTCGATGTATACACATTCTGCTAATCACCGCCCTTGACTCCTGCAGATGGTTAGAATTAGAAACACTTATCCCCCGCGAAGCGGCAGGCCTTTGGGCTCCTCCAGCCACAAAAAAACGCCGCAAGGTGAGGATCACAAAGTGGGTGGTTGTGAAGATAAAAAATAAAAAAATAATTTCGTCTGGCAGCTGTCGGCTCCCTGACTCCCTCAATCGCAGTCTCCCAAAAGACAGTGCGATAGAAGAGAAAAAAGTTGTGGAGAGATATCTTCGTTTGTGCGAGATATGAATTTATTTGGGCAGCTAGCCGTCCTCGCAAGCATTCTTTTCACAAAATCCCATGAAAATAAAAAAAATTATGCGGCCCCTGTAGTGCGCAACAGCCTCTAGTGACGATGCGCCTCTGGTGGAAAAAATAAAATAAAATGAAAAAAGGGTGTGGTGAGTGTGGCACTGCCGATCACAACGGTTCTCTGAAAAGAAAGGCATTCACTGTCTAGACCTCGTAGGCACACACACATATAAAAATCGTTAAAATACTTCCTAATATATTTACCAAAACAAAATGCACTTTGTTCCTACTTTTTTTTTTCAATTTTCTTGCCTTTTTCATTTCTAGAAGATTTCTGTATTCACTTTGCTCGGATTTTATTTACAAAATCAGTTGTCAACACAAACTGGTATTCGTGTACCTTTCCGTCCCAGAACGCCACAATTTTTTTTTCAGCGTCGCTCAAATTTTTGGTATTGACGGGACCGCATCTCTGCCAGTTCGTTATCATTGTGCTGTTTTCGTGCTGCACATAAATAATATCCCACGCCAATCCTTCAGAAAATTCCTCCCAACCATTAAAATATGTCACCATATTATTTTTGAACAGCCTCACAGTGCTGGGTATGGTGTGGTGCGCACCCGCCGTAGTCATCTGCAGCCCGACCAGCGTCTTCCGCGGCGAATCAACAAAGAAAAAGCCGTCCACCAGCGGAAAGTTTGTGGCCCACGGTATGTACAGCACCCGGTACTCAATATTAATCTTCTTCTCAACTTTTTCCATCAACGGTAATCCAAAGGTGCGAGTGGGGTACCCTTGATGGTTTACATTCAGCACTGATTCCTGTGCTTCACGTTCTGGTGGCCTCAGCTCCTTGAGTTCCTTTAATAGTGCAATGACAAACTCCCCATACATGAAGGCGCGCAAACCTAATTGTTCCACATATGTGGAAGCAAGAGCACCACGCGATGCCAATATTAGCAACAAAAAATCCTTTGCACCCATTACCTTTGCCAAACGGTCCGCAGTTCGAAACCCGATATCATCACATATCGGTGCGTTCAGAAATATCTCAGCACCTTCTTCTGTTCTCGCCCGGACGATCTTCACAAGTTTGTGAGACGGATCCTCGGAATACCATTTTTTCTCTCCTCCCAGGGGAAAGTACTTTTCAGCATCATTATCTTTGATCGATAACAAGGCACCATTAACGGCACCCAAGCGATCAATATATTCATCCGCATCAAAGATGTGACGTGGAATCGGCCCCACTTTCTCCATGCGTTCTTTGACCTCTTTCCAGTATCCCGCTTGCTCATCTGGAGTCTCATTATGCTTCATCCACGTACACATCGCCTTCACATCCATCTCGTCGGGACAGTTCATGATGATTCGCCTGGCTTTTGTTTGCTTCGCCCACTCATCATAGTTGGTTACCTTTGGCGATGACACCACAATCATGCCCCATCCGGTAGAGGGCGCAAAATGTCTCAGTGGTGGCGTTCCTTTCTTTGCCACATCGTAGATAATATACCCTTTCATCCCACGCTCCCTTAAATTTCTCAAAGCCATGATGCACATGTCCTCATCACTGTATCTTGTCACGATTTTGGTGGTCTTGTCAAACACGTAAGCATCACGTCCACCAAAACAGTGGGCAACCACTTGGAGTTTCTCGACGTCGTAGTGCAGCAGCTGGTAGAGGAGGTACGAGCCGGCAGCCATCGACTTCCCGATCCCGGGCGTCCCAATCAACACACGCGGCAAAGGTGAAGAATTGAGAGTCAAATCAAAATTGCTGAACCACTTGGTTAGATCGTCAAGGACGATCTGCCACGCTCGCTCCACCTCAGAGTTAACACAAAAGTCATTACCAGCCCCATGCAGCACATTCAGCGTGTACGGCCATCCCTTGTCCGAGGTGAGCACCATCAACAGGGGAGGTGCTTCATCGGATTGCTGCACAGCGTCATCCTTTTCGAAGGTGTTGCCAGCTTTCTTGTACGTCCATGACTGTTCCGGTTTCCCCTCATGCACCTCCATTCCCGTCCCCTCGCCGTCGGGAATTTCCACCACATGGTGCCAACTCGCATTGTACACAGACTCGTACAATCCCTCCAGGTATATCGGTGCACTCGTCGTCGTTGGGCTCCTCGCCTCCTCGGCAGCTGCATCCAAAAACATTTTATTGATTTCATGAACACTTGCCGTTACCGCAGCAGCCACCAACCACCTCAGTAGATTGTCCATGCAATGCTCGCAAAGCTTGTGTACATCCTCTTCCATGTCCATTTCATCCCTTGCAGTCCTCTCCATCATCACATAACGATCGGATGCCTGCATTTCGCCCAATACTCCCGCATCGCAAATATACTTCTCGGGGTCCTTAAAAACCCCTCCTGCAAGAATTTCCGATTGGCGTCCACAAAGCCCCTGCCATCAAATCTCCTATTAAGAAGCTCATTCAGCTTTCGGTCCATGACACGAACTTTTCGTGTAAACAGTACATCTTCAGTCTTAGTTACAAGGGTGGATTTTTCTTTCGCTGCTCCGAGTATCCGTCTGGCATTTCCAGAGCTGAATCAAGTTTTTGCATTGCCCGGAAATTGATCGTATGCCCCCTCTCATAGTCCCTCCATTGACGAAGAAAGAACACACCCTCGTGAAGAAGTTTGTGCACCCGGTAGTCTGTCAAATTAAGAATTCCTTCAAGAAGCTGCCGGCCTTTTATACGTAAGCATCGAGTCTCCGAATAAACATCTCCCCCGTCGCATTGTAGTCTTTCATCAACGGTCGCCCTGGAGCCAAAACAATTCAAAAAAAATATTAGGCTTCAAGCTGGTGCTGAGAGTATCTCCGTCTAGCATTAGATCTTCCACCAGACTGTCAAGAGTCCACGGCGGTCACTCTTTACTCACCACCAAATGTCGAGCTGTAGCGTCGGAGCCAACACAGTTGCCGCTGGCTCCAAAGGACACTCGCGGCTGTTTCGTCCCGCAGTCCCAATGGCGTTGGGCGCGGCACTCGCACGGCGGGGCGGTCAGTGCGCCACGAAGCCGCACTGCAACGCCTGTCGGTGAAGCAGCCGAAGCCCACCGTCTCCGCAGCAACACGAGGCGTGCAACCAACCACAACACCGCCACATTATCGCCCTTTTAATTTTACTCACGTTGTCTGTCCGTGTGCCCTATCACTAACACTAAAAATAAGGGCACACCTTCACAGAAGAAAAATAAAAAGGAGGCACGATACCACCGTCCCGCCGCGGGCCAACACTCTCCTCCACCCTCCACCGCCATTGCCGCGCAGGGGACCGCAGTCACATCGCAGAGTCAACACCACAATGCGCACCGCACCACCGTGCAGTGAACGATGGACGAGACGCAGCCATGCATCGCCCCGCTCCATTTTCCCACCACTCAAGTGTTGCGTGCCCGCACAAAGTAGCAAACACAATCAGAGTGCACACAAACCCAACCAACACCCTCACTCGCTGAAGCACATTATTCGCATGGAGTGACAACATTTGGGGACACACCAGCGGTAGAAGGCTGCATGCAATTTCCCTGCCAGCCCTGCGAAGAGACACAACAACTCTGCGGAGTAAAGTGACAGCCCCGCGGTGTTGCCCGCAGTCCACATGGCATGACAAATTCCACGCACGCATAGTTCCAAATCCCTCGCTGCTTGAGTGCACATCAACTGAACATGCAAAAAAATACGTGCGCGCAAGATGGCATTTAAATACGTGAAGTCGTCAGCCTGTTTTGTTCGATGGCGTTGGCGAGCATTCCCACACAATCCAATCAAAGTGACACGCCGGACAGTGTGTCGTCAGTTAATAAATAAATACTTGCGCCAATGCAAAAAAAAGTAAAAATTGGATTTGCACCCCACTCCGGGGGCGATGGTGGCATGAGAGTGTGTATGTGTGCAAGGCCCTTCGTGGGACGGTGCTGCCCAATCCCGCCGTGCCTTGACACAAAAGGGCAACAGAAAAAAAAAGAGGAGCACACTCTCCAGAAAAGGAGTGACGGTTGGGCAGTCAACCCCCGTTTCGTCTCACACGACATCCACATATGTGCACTCCACCCCAAATACGTACCTCCCTGGACGCCGCATGCATGACTTGTGGTTTCGTCGCTCGCAATGTGTTTTTCCTCCCGCAAACAACAAAAAAGGACGGCCATGGCGCAGCTCCACTCAGAAAAGAAATCGGGGCGGACACGGGTGGGAACCAGGCGTCATAACAAAAATATTTTTAAAAAAAGAGGGGTAGGGCAATAACTCCTCCAAGCCACGGAATCGTGCAATGTTGATCCCTCTTCTTCTAAATTGAAGACCTCCTCAACAGAACAAATGCGACAGACACATGTGCCGCACAATATCTTTCGCTGCCCCGCGTCCCATCTTAATTCCCATGACTGCCACGGCGGTGGTTGCGTTACATCGGGGATGAATCCAAAATATCAGGCAGCATGCTGCGGAGGGTGGATACTTGCCGAACGTGCACGCGTTAGCGTCTAACAGGAAATGGCGTCAAAAATAAAAAACTATTCGCGACTCAAGCTACCCGTGTGTGGCCGTAGTAAAGCAAACACTGAGACACATTTGGAGCAACGTAAAAGAAAAGAAGAGAAGGAAGAAAAATAAAATAATCCACAGAAATACATCGATACATACATACCTACATATAAAGTAATAAGTCATTCCGCATAATTCGTCGTTCCTTCTCTCGTTGTTCTTTCGACACAACGCCAGAAGCATAAGGAGCGGCAGGCATGCCCTCCCACACAATCATCGTACAACAGGAGGGAGAGTCACTGCAGGCACCCGCACAAAAAACAGGAACAAACCAACAATCAATGACGCGGTCGGTGCGGAGTCTGATGGGTGGCTGCGCAGCCGCACAACCGTGGCCCCCACGCCCTCCCTCATGTCAGCCAGCAACGCACACTCACAACCTCCAGGAGGTGACGCGTCACAGAAGGGCTTCATCGATTGTTTTCCCTAACGCTTTCCTGAATGCATCCTATGGCCCGCACACCAGCCACCGCCGTCGAGCACGTCCTCATTACTAAGTATAGATATGAAATAGAGACCACTAGCCCACATACTTGGTGCCGCGGCCGCGGGCGCAAAACACACACACACACCCCTTCCGCATCCGCCCCGGGCTAGCGTGATAGTTCGATAATCCGTTGTCTTCGATAATCGATAAAATAAAATAAAAGCAATGAAGCAATCACCCAATCAATCTATGAATAATCAAAAGGGAGAAGATACCCGCCAGAAGCGTCTACGTCATGCCGCATCTGCAAGGTGCGTTGTGCCTTCTCGCCGCGTACCGGTACTGTTGGGGTCGGAGCCCTTCCACCTAAAAAAAAAACAACCTGCGCCACATTTTTCTTCAAGCAGAGCATCTTCACCTGTCCAGGAGGACGTGATCAATTATTCAGCTCGCAATGGATGCACCATCGAACAAGCTCAGAGCGTCTGAGCGGGTGTCACCGGTCACGGACTGCAACGGCGGTGCGAGTGGTCGGTACGACAACGCAGCGGTGGCGCCTGAGGCGTACGACGATGACGTCATGTCGTGCGGCTTCTCTGTCTCTTCGTCGATCTCCTCGTCATCGCGCAGCAGCGCCTCCAGCCCTCCACGCCGCGGCTCACGCAGCTCCTGCCAGTGGCGGTCCTCCGCGTACCACACAACGACGCTGTATACAGTGGTCGCAAGCACCACAGTCGTCAGCAGCAGCACGATCGCCGCGTACGCCCTCGCACCGCCGTCGCTCGGCGCAAGGTGGTTGGCCGCGCTGACCAGGCACAGCACCGCAAGGAGCACAAAGCCCGCAGTGTGCATCACTGTCAGGAAGGCCGAGCGCATCATGTTCGTGAAGGCAACCACGCCCGCGCCCGCAAGCAGCACAGCCGCCATGCAGAAGTACTGGACGTGGCAGCCTCCCACGGGCGGGTGCACAGCAGCAATCAGGCCCACCACGCACAGCACCGATAGCTGGAACACGCACCAGTACACGTGGCTGCCCCTCATGTTCGTCAGCATGCTGCCGTACATCCGCTGCTGCGCCGCGGGGCCAATACCCGACGGGGTACAGCAGGCGCTCGTGCAGCGGCTTCCTCGAAAACTGCCAGTACCTCGTGAAGCTCGCGCCCACGTGGCGAGCAATAAAGTAGCACACGCCAGCAGGGAACACCACACCGTACAGCACGCCAACGACACCGATCACGTAGTGCTGCACGCGGGCGCCGGGCATCGCCAGTGCGAGCACGGAGCCGAAGAAGATGCCGAGGTGCATCGCGTGCGCCACAACGTACGTCAGACTCGGGAGACGCATCGCCGCCCACGCACTCGCCGCGTCCACACCGCGCCACCGCTGGAAGGCCGCCGTCACACCGCAGTGCACGCACCCAAACACGGCGGCAAGCAGCGCGTTGCCCACCACCATCCACAGCGGGTCAAGGGCAGCGAACACCGACAGGAAGTACGGCAGCGCAACGGTGCTCGCACGCTCCTGCGCCGAGGCGCATGACATCCTCGCAAACACGCCGAGTGCCTGCATCTCCAGAATGGAGCCCAGGCCGCCGGTCACCACCAACACGCCAACAGCCGCCGCACCCGCCACCTGCGTGCGCGCGATGGTCAGCACACTCCCAATCAGATTCACTTTGTGCACCACGAGGCACGCGGAGGCGTCACCAAGGCCGTAGGCGCCGCGGTACGCAACGCGCCTCTCTGCGATCAGCACCGAGTCCACCACAGTGACGCGCGAGCCCGGCGGGAATCGGTTCGCCACCACCACGCCGCCGCCGGAGCGCGACTCAAGCCCGCTGATCAACACATCGGCACGCTGGCCAGCAGGCGGGTCGGACAGCCACCCCAAAACGTACAGACTCGCTCCGCCCACAAACGTGCAGTTCGCCAGCGTCACGTTGCGCACGCTCCCCGACATCGAAGCCACGTCCACCACGACGTCCCGAAACCGGCGCTCACCTCCACCTCCACACGCACGTCTCGCACGCACAAGTCGGCGCCGTCGGTGCTCGGCGGCTCGGGGACAGCGACGGGCAGGCACGCTTCGCCATAGCCGCCCTCCGCACACGTGCAGGCGCAGCCATCACTCGACGCCGTCGTCGTGTACGCGGATAAGCATGATGTCGCAAGAGTGCATGGATCGCTGCAGGTCAGGAAGGTGACATTGTACCCGGACGGAATGACGTAGTTCATTCCCTCCTCGCCGTTCACAGTGTTGCACGCGGCCACAAAAACAAACCGTCAAAGGCTGGCTGAACCTGAGCATCCGCCTGGTGCCAATGGTCATAACTGTATGCGCTCCGGAGATTAACGAAGACTTCGGAGATGCCCTCATTCCATACATGCGGAGCCCAGGTGGCGACCTCCAACGCAAGAAAATGCAGCACCTGACCTTCTGAGCCGGAATCCTCTTCCAAGGGGACGGTGGGGAGGCAACGGCAAAAGAAAAATATAGGATCTCCCAACATCGCCCCAAGACATCTGAGTGCTGACCAGCCGTCTCTCTCCCGTGAGATTGGGTTGGGGAAACGCGGATGCTGACACACCCCAGGCCATCAAACGATGCGGTTGATTTGGCTGTGTGTTTCCGCCATCGCCGTGCGTGCGTGGGGCCATCTGGAGGCCCTCTCCGAGAGGTGGGCGCCTCTCGTTGAAATAGCGTCGTCTCCGCCTTCCGCAAAAAGGCCGCCAACCACCGAAATATCAGTTTCACGTGCCGAGCGGTAGTTTAGCGCCTCTTCCGTCTGAAAGTAAATCTGAGCAGTCCAATTCTGTACGTCCGCAACGGCACGGGTGTAGTCCGAGCTTAATATCTGCCTCTCCTCAATGACGAGCCCTTGCTTGCCCCCCAACTCCCGGGCCGCCCCCACACGATGGGCAGGAGCACTTGAACATCGAAATTTGGTACTTGAAACGCACGGCGATTCGCCAAGTGCCCCGCAACGGTCGAGCCCTCCAATTGCATGGCGATGTCTCCTGAAACCAAGCGTAAGCCTGTCATTGTTGCGGCGGCGGCTACCACCGCATCCAACGGCCCGTGTTCATCAATGAAGGTAAGCTGCACCTGGGCATCGCCATGCTGGCGTACCAAGTCCAACATGCGGGCACCAATGTCGTTGCACTCCGTCGCCGTGTAAAAAAAAATCTGTACTGTTTCATTAAAAGAAATTCCAGGAGTCCAGTGTGGCCGAAAAAAAAAAATCTTCTTGCCGTTATCGGTTCTTTGATTTTTTTCAATGGCGCTCTTCCAGAAAATCACAAAATAGAATCTTACATAAATATATTCTTCTAATCAGTATCTGTTAATTAGGGCTGCCAGCCTTCTCGCGGACGTTCTTTTCACAAGTTAACAATAAAAAAAAAGACGTCTGCCGAAGGTAACTTCCGATGTATTCAATCAAGAAATGTCGTGTCTTCTTGTTACTTGAACATCCATCTTTAGAAGATCTAAATACTTGGATAAAGGAAAAGAGAACCTAGCCTTTTCACCATGAACAGGACTAAACATTCATTCTTCTGAGAACACACGATCTGTTGATTAATAGGAACCGTGTACGAACAGGAAAATAACAGTTGATACTTCACTCCTATTCCCGCTCCCATCCAGATGTGAAATGAAATTAAAATAAGAGGAAGTAACGCATTTTCAAAAGAATAGACAGATGCACGATAAAAATATAGTATGCCAATTGCTCTCCAGTCGCCAATATCATTTCATTCAATATTCCCCCAAATAAATAAACACATATATAACACCAATGACACCCACTCCGTATCGGTGTCTTTTTTTTAGTTGGGGTCTTTAAAAAGAGGGGGCTTTGAGTTAATCCAGAGTAAATATTTTTTAGGAGTGCATTTGCTTGGGTCTGGAAGAAAAAGTTAACAAAGCCCCTAAGGCTGTACTCAGCTGAAAATCGGACGCAGTTCTGGGAAAAACACACACAAACATATATATATATATATAAAGTACTGCTCCGACGATCATTTCCTACAAATTAATTACAACATTGGCGCCCATTTATTTTATCCAATGGGCATTTAGTAGTGGGGGAATGTATGGCAAATTTTGTTTGCCATTCTCGTTTTGTTTCTGCCCCGCAAAAAAAAAAGGGGCAGAAGGGGGGGTTGGGAAAGAAAAAAAAAAAAAAAAAACAGAAAAGTAGTCAAAAATAAAATTAAATAAATAAAATATTTTTTCTTTTTTGAGACAACTGCTGCTATTGAAGAAGATTAAATAATTTTTTATTTGAATTTCCGTATTATTTTATTGTTTTTCTCCTCCATATTTCACGTGTCTCATCCTAGACTTTCTCAAGGTCGTCGTTCAGTTTGGTCCTCATGGTGGGCTCGTTATTTCCGCTCGCCTCCTCCATCTCTGTGCTCACCATTACTGTGGAGCCAGGGAGGTGGAGTTCATCGGGACGGCGGTAAGCAATGTACAACGCCATGCCAATGCCCACAATGGTAACCCCCAGGCATACCCAGACAAGAGGGAACTCCTTTTTATTTTCCTTGGTTGATGTCTGATTATCCTCAGCAGCCACCGCATTTGCCACAGCCAGGAAGGCAGAGACGATCAGAGCGTATGTGGAGGCCATTTTTTCTTCCGGTTTTTTTTTTGATTACTCTCCTCTTGTTATGTTAAAAAAAGTCGACGGGAAAATGAATTAACTGGATGGCTCAATCAACTCTAATATTGGTGCAGGTAAAAAAGCAAAAAAAAAAAAAAAGAAGAGAAATTCGCGAAGATAAAAAGCACTCATCAAACAGCAAACAAAAATAAATAAATAACGCAATCACAAAGAACTACAAACAATAGCAAGACAAGTAGAAATGCATAAAATACCGGTAATAAACATTCCGTACCTTGAATTTAAGTTGTAAGCAAAAATAAAAATAAAAACCACTAATAATAAAACATCATGATATGGTTCTCTGTATTGCCTTAATGACCACACATTTATGGCAACCAGCAAACACAACAAGTCCACGATAAAGCCTCATTATTGATGATTACGTACTGATGAAACTTAAACATGCTAAAAACTCCCTTCTCGCGCCTCCCGCGTGGAGTTCAAAAAGTTAGATTGGGTCGGACAAGCTTTGAAAACCCACGCTTCGCAAGAAACCGTAATCCCAATAAAATGCAAAGATATATGATGATTCATTAAATTCTTTTATTACGTATCATGTACTCCTAAAGCCAGCCCGTCCCATTCGGGAATCTATAAAAAAGAAGAACAAAAGGAAAAACAGAAAAAAACACAAGTAAAAGAAGGGAAAGAAAGAAAGAAAGGCAAGCCAAAATCCCCGTCCCTTATATCCTCCCCAAATATATATATATATATATTCACGCTCCAGGTAAATGAAGTCAAGAAAAAGTAAGGGAGCATGTGAGAAATGAACCAAAGATGGAATTCCCGTTGATATCATGCAATGGAATTTGTCGAATACCAGCTTTTAACACACGCAACGGTAAAATGCACTCTGCTAGAAAGTCGTCGCGAGTTTTTTTGTCCTCGTCATAAACTTGCACAACAAGTGTTGAAAGATCCCAGTCCTTCACATCCCACGAGAACTCACTGCCCAAGCCCTTGCCCCGCCATACCGGGTGGAACCCATTGTTGCGAATTGTCCCCGATGTCTTTCGGTCACTATTACCGTCTGGGCCCTCAATAAAACACGTGATGAAAGGGTCCACAATCTCGCCTTTGTTGGAACGTTTCGGCTTGGGGAGACAAAATCCAGAAATAATCTCCAAATTCAGTGATCGCACCTGGGAGCCGTTGCGCGACGCAGCACTTGATCGCACGCTCTCAGGCTTCAAACATAACCGCAATTTCCATTGTCAGAGAAAATCCCTTGTTAAGTCTCCATGCATATGTGTGGGTCGATTGCCCATTGAGTGCCACGATTTGACAGCCGCAATTCCCAAACAATT